GAAGGCACTGTAACACAGAACCTGTATTCCATCAGTCACAAACTGCATGTTTCTGTGTTGAGGTTGCAATCAAACGTTTTAAAAAGATACAAACATGCATAAATCTGGAGTAAAATACTGTGAGGAGGAAGCTAAAAGCAACTAATCAAGAGGTGCATAAATGGCGGTCTTTAGGAAGCCTCATTATATCAGGCACCAAATAGTGCTCCAATGGCAGTTAGAGCAATTCAGGTTTACTAAAGACATTTGAAAAAATGGCACTATGAGCAAGGTAAGCAAAAAAGATTGGTGTCGGTAAGAGAATAGTGGCGGCAGAGCAGGTATTTTATTTGTGGTTAAAGATTGTGAGGAAGATCTGAGCACATGGAGTGCTTTCTCTTGTTCATGTGAAAAAGTGATGAAACTGGACCCATTTCATACAGACCACATGGACTCCTTTTGGATTTGGCTTTTATTCATATTGTTGTTTTAATTTTTGTGATAATTCAGTGAAGTCTTAAAATTTCAAATTGAACAGACTTTTAAAGTGTTTTCGTCATTTGTTTTAAGGATTGTGCTTCTTACATTACGTCATCTTCTATAGATTGCCAGACTATTATTCAGATCCAAAAGTGCTTACAGGAGCTCATTCTGCTCCCACAGCTTGATGCTAACAGAGTGGGGCTGTGATGGCATATGTGTGGGCTGTAAAACTGGAATGATAGTGGAACTGGACATCTGTGCATTCAGCATTGCCATTACAGAACACCATACCTCCCCCAGCTCTAATTCGAAAGATGACACAACATATAATTGTTGCCAGTCTCACTCATATCACTTTGTCAGCAGAGAAATAATGAGGTGCCATTAAAGATGAGCTCATTAGTTACCTTTTTCTAAAATGCTACGCTATATTATTAAAATGTTCATTCCACTGCTTTTAAACCAGGCTCTGTCTGAATTGTGCTTGTTAACATTTTTATTCACAGAAAATAAAATATTCAGTTTCATTTCTTAATCTTTAGCCATCAGATTTGACCAGTGTTTCAACAAAGCCTTTAATAATTGGGGCTCCTAAACTATAACTGATACACTTAGCTGCCTTGTGCATAAACAAAATGGTGTGAACACACAGATGAGGACTCTGGAAGTGGACCAGCGCATGAGAACCCAGGTGCACACTTGATATTGGGATTTGCCAATTTGGCAGAAATTTGTTCTGTGACAACTGAACCAAGTTGATCTAAACTGACATTTAATCCTGTGTGAGAGAAAACGTATAGAAAAGAGAGGGAAGGGTGTATTTAATGGGTCGCTTATGTACGGAAAGTCACCACAAGTCACACAGAAAGTGTAGAAAAGTTTGTTGTGACAGTCCAGTGCATAAAAAACGGAGATTTATTTTATTCTTTTGTTAGTTTTATTATTGGATGTTACTTTAAACCAGTTTTTTATCAATAGAGAAAAGAAAAACGACTTATTTGTTTAATTGTTACACTGATTCATTCTGAATAAATGATTTCAAAGTTTACAAACAAAAAAATGAGTCATGAGAAAAAAAATACCTTTTTGGGTTAACTTTACATGGTATTCTCATTATTAATATCATTATTATTATTATTATTATTATTATTATTATTAGTAGTAGTAGTAGTAGTAGTAGTAGTAGTATTAAAAACATGAACATAGTCCCCCACAATGTCCTACATTTCATTAAGTCACAACCGACCACTGTATAAGGGAAAACCATATAATAGACTGGGACAGAACAAGAATCATGAACACTGAACAACAAAAATACAACAGATAGATTAAGGAAGCCATAGAAATAAGGAGACATGGAGACACAACCGTGAACAGAGACGATGGGGTCTACACGTTACATCACGCATGGGACTGAGTCATCAACAAGGAGGGCATGGGCAGCAAAGGGCGACACCGTCCTCTGCTGCTCGTGAATAAACGGAAAAGGAAGGAATGCCACCAACATCGTCACAGTCTGAGGATGGCTACAGGAAGTAGCCAAAAAGTTAGCTAATAATGTAAAAGAAAACTTTTCCTTCCTGTGTTTAAAGAGAACCAAGCAATACAAATCTATGGTTTTGACACCCCATCATTTTTTCCTATCCACATATGGTAATGTGATGTATTTTCATCCCACTAAAATGCATTCATTTTCAATGACACTTATGTGACTGAAACGTGCAGATAGATTAGTGTAGTCGATTGAGATCAACTGAAGGTAGTTTAGAGTCACTCCTGCAGTCCTCTAAATTACAATATGAATCAATAACTCAATCAATCAATCAAGCAACTTTATTTATATAGCACTTAATCCTACAATACATGCAACTCAAAGTGCTTAACAAATTAAAAAGGCCCCACCTACCCACATTCCCTCCCATCCCCAGAATTTTAAAAACAGTCTGACAATAAAAAACCCTTCCACAACACTCCTCCACCGACACACACACACACACACACACACACATGCACATACACATACATACATGCCCCCTTCCCCATGGTAAAAAACACGATTGGCTGAGATCAGATGAGCCAGACCAGCTAAGGATAAGGAAATGCCATCGGGGAGCCATTCACCCCGATAGCAGCAGATCCACAGCAGCAGCCGAGGCACTGACACCAGGCACCCAGGGCAGGGAGGGCGGAGACCCCCACCACCACCCAGGCACACATGGAAAGCACCCAGGCCGCCACAGCCGACCACCACTGCCGGGGCAGAGGACTCCCACAGAGGAAGCACTGGAAAAAGGTTAAATTAAGGTTAAAATATAAAATCCAAAGAGCTAAAATGAGAATTGTAATATAAAAAGTTATATAGATATTAAAATAATATTGATCATAAATCAAGGATTTGTGTAAAATTGATAAAAACTCTGAAAACTCTTGAATAAACGGTGCACTCTGTCTAGGAGGCCTGTAAACAGTGACACATAAAATCTGAGGAATGCCAAAAGCGGCTGCAGTGTATTCAAAAGTGTTAAAATGATAAAATAAAACAGGTTTTGCTAAAAGTGTTGATGAACTTATAAAAGCAGTCCCGCCTCCCCTTTTACCATTCCTCATTGAGAAATTGAAACTAGAATTGGATGGGGAGGCCTCTGTGAGAACAAGAGGCATCTGAACTCAGCCATGTTTCAGTTAAACATAAACACTGAAGATTAAAATCTAAAATCAGGTAATTTATAACAAAAGTTAGGAGTCATTATGATCATTTGTAAGAAAGTAAACAAACAAAGGGGGGTTGGTTCTGTGGAGCAGCTTAAGAAATGTTTTTACTAACATTATTTTTACCAATAATTTATGGTGGTCTCTAGTAGGAATGAATGCCTTGAAAGTTATTCTCTGGAGAAAGGAAGCTCTATTGCCAGTTTCAGGAACTAGAATTTTGCCACATCAGAGTTGAGCTTCAGACAACTGGGGTGCTTTTAATTGTCAAGGTACCTGGCCTCACAAGACATTGCCTTGCAAGGCCAGGCTCCTTGCGAAGGAGGGCACTGTCCTTTCTTGGTCAAAGAAAATGGTTAAATGGAACAGACTTGCATCACATGACCATGGCTTCCATGACTGTCACATAACATCACGTGACATGGGAGAGAACGTTATATTTTATATGCATAAGTTTCAATATAAATATATAACAAGTCTTTTACTTTTCAAATTTATGCTCATATTTGTTAAATTAAATATGTAAGCAAGTTACTACCTGATAGCCACTGAAGCTGCAACTACTAAGCAACTAACCAACCAGAGAAAACTTTTTTGGATCTTAAAAAAATTCAGATAACTGCCCAGAAGCTACAGTTATTTGACTTACATTTAAACTTGAAGTTTTCTCGTGAAGTAGCTGCCAGCTTCTGATCCGCCATCATTTTGAAAATACTGCCGTATATTTTGGGAAATTTTTGACCAAGGCTAGGCTACAAGACACCTCCTGTGTATCATGGCTCAGCTAGCTAAACGGCTAACAAATTGAGAACAGACGCCTCGGTAGAACATGAACATTGGAACACACCATGGTGGTTCTTGATGATGTATTTCAGGCAACTGGGGCGGGACCAAGACATCAAGGTGAGATTTCTTGGCACCAGGATTTTGAGTGCCATTTTCACCTATTTGGACATCTCATCTCTGATTGGATAACAGCAACAGGATTCGACCACTGACTCAGTTTGCTTTGCAAAGTTGATGTTTAATCTCCACAAATAAAGCAAGCCTGGAGGAGTTCTGCTGTGTGGTGGAGTTGCTAAGCTAACAGTTAGCTTGACTTAGTTGACATGTGCTTTGCTTTTTCCTGGACGCTAAACCAGCAACAGCCCTCCCCTTTGTGAGCGAAGATGGATTAGTCTCACCAATTTTCTATCAGAAGCTAATGTGTAATGACAAGTGCAGTTCAGCCAGCATGAGAGTGTGTGTGTGTGTGTGTGTGGTGTGTGTGTGTGTGTGTGTGTGTGTGTGTGTGAGTGTGAGAGAGAGAGAGAGAGAGAGAGAGAGAGAGAGAGAGAGAGAGAGAGAGAGAGAGAGAGAGAGAGAGAGAGAGAGAGAGAGAGAGAGAGAGAGAGAGAGAGAGAGAGAGAGAGAGAGAGAGAGAGAGAGAGAGAGAGAGAGAGATGCATTTACTTGTAGATGTATATTTACAATTTTTGCTATTTTGGTCAAAATACACCAAACTTTATTTTGATTTCCCCCACCCCCACCCCCCCGCCCCCCACCCCCCCGCTTGTTTATTCATCAAAACGTGAAGTCAGAGCCGTTTTTCCAAGTGTCACCAATTCAAAACAGCAGCCACCAACTCCCTTGCTGTGTTGACGGGAGCTGTCCATGGTGCTGATTCTCGCCTAATCATGCACCCTTGACCACTAGAAGCACCCGTGCAGCTGAAGCAGTGACATGACTCAGTGTGTCATGGACATAAACACATACCTATGCGTGTGTACCTTGGTTTGTACCGAGTACTTCCGCTTTGTGTAACCGCGCATGTGTTGATCCCTGCTGCAGCAACGTGCATCAATTCCTCTCTGACCCGACTGTTAATCTGCATTCAGACTGAGGCTCCAATGGTTTTTCTCAGCCGTTCTATACTGTTATAGTTTATTCCCTGGGACTCGTTACTTTTGTAGGCCGATTGTCGAGTCGGCAGCACAGGAAAAAAAGACAACCTAAACGAAATCCGGCTTCTCCTCGATTTAGTGTTACCCGACATTCCTCCGACGCACGTCCGTCTCCGGTCCAGCTTTGCAGAACCGCGTCTGCCAGCGTGCGTAATGCATCGTAAAGAGGAAGCACAGTAAATAGACGGAGACGTCCATCTGCAGGAAAGAGGAAACGAAGATGGTGATGACAGCTTCACCAAATTCAACCTGCAAATGCTCGACAGCAATGGCGAAGCCTTCCCTTCCCCTAAAGCTCTTCCTCTGGGTGTTTATCCTCATTAATCTTTCCAAAAGGTAAGATTTTCATTCACATCCTTCAAAGCTTTAATATGTACCGGGTCCGTGCAGCGGTGTGTTTCTTCATTTATTAACACACAATGATGCGGTGCCTCCCATCTACATTTGTGAGGCTGATGGGGGTGTACTTTCATTATTTAGTGTTCTCACTCACAAAAACAGCGTTTAGGGGGAGATATGGTCATGTAGTCGTGCAGTCATCATGTGTTGTCTTTTTTTTTCAATATAAAAGCAGCGATCATTCTTTAAGTCCGATGAAATAGACGTTTATTTATTGATTTCCGTGGTATTTATTCCATTTATAAGACAACCAATTCTGTAATCTTCCCTGCAAGAAATAGCACAGCGTTGTGCTAAATTAAGTGAAGCTAAGGCTACATAGAGTCTGTTAAGCTGGCTTCAAGGATCAAGTCTATTTTAACAGTCAAAGCTTCTTTAAAGAACGCTTGCGCCGGATCAGCCGCAAGTGGAATCGTCTGTCTGACATCAAGTCAAACATTTGCAATGGAAATAACAGTTTTTTTTAATCTAACGTTTTGGATAATCAAAAATAACAATAAAACCAATTTCAAAATGGCAGACAATCACCGAGACCTAGGTGTGAGGCACCATAAGGGCAAGAACACATACGGAGTGATCTTGACGCACGCTTCACGCGAGTGTCATTAACGTTTGTGTGTGTTATAAACAACTGTTTCTATTTGGGAGCTGCATCGTGTGTTGATGGAAAGGCAGATTAGAGAAATCTTAGGGTTTCTCTCTCCCGCCGTTTCTTCCCTCTCCTTGTGCAGCTGAGGAGTGAAAAATGGAGGCAGATAAATCCGCCAACGTTCAGTCACCATCACGCTGATCGCGATCTCAGGGTTCCTTGCCCCGTCTCACACCGACAGGCCTGTTTCATTTCTAAATGTGTGCACAAGTTGTGTTCAGAATACACTTGAGTAAACACTACACCCCTCTCAGCATTAAAATGAGAGATTTACTTACAAAAAACGTGAATAACTGAGCAAATGTATTTTTCTGAGCAATATTTATCACCACCTGCAGATTTTTTATTTTATTTTATTTTTTTTTACTGTTGGACAAGATGCAAACATTTGCAAACAGTATATGATGTCAGACGTGGCTGTTTGTTTGGGAAGCAGCTGCCCTGGGAGTCAATAACAAGTCACACATATATAAAAGCTCTTACATAAGGTCTCTGCATGCTTTCAGTGTGATGTACTGCTTTGTGACTCACTGACATCTACTATGGACTGTGGTGTCAGCCTGCATTATACCACACTCATATCAGTCAATTCATGCTTAATATAAATCAAAGGTGCTGCAATCTTCTTTTGAAAAGAGGTCAAGAAAGAAATTTTGTTCGATGTCACATTCGGACTTGCTTGAGGTTATATTCATCAAGGCCTGAAGAAGAGATTATCTGATCACATGCTGTGAACTGCTCCTAGCTGGCACTTTTTATGACATCTTAATTCATATTTTTATATTTTAACTTTTTATTCTCATTTATATAGTAGTTTATGTGCTTTTAGGAAGTATTGACTCCCACTAATTTAGTAACAGTATATGCACTTTTAGTAATTCAATAAGAGCACTTTTCTTGCTTGTATTATTGACATATTAAAGGTGTGGTTGACTGAAATAAACCATTCTAATGATTATTTCTGATTATAATCAGAACTCTGAGTTTTTCATGCAGGCTGAACATGAAAATAGTCTCCTACACCTATCTTTTTCATTAGCTACTGATTTGAAAATCCTGACAGATCTGTGTCACACTTAGCATTCAAGGACTCACCCATCTTGGCTCACAACAGGAAAAGCTGTTTTAGAGTCCGGGAATCAGCAGAGGACATCCCAGCTAATTGTTAGCATTAGCAACTCCACCACACAGCATAAGTTCCTCCAGGGCTGAGTTATTTGTGGAGACAAAACATACATGTTGCAAATCAACGGTAGAGTCACCTTGTTGTTAGCCAGTCCAGAACAAGATGTCCAAATATCAGGAAATAAGACTCCAAAACCAGCCATCTGAAACTCAGCTGTGGTGTGGCTCACCTCTATTTCCTGAAAATGGTGCACCAGAGTACAACATACAAGGGATCCATTCCTACTAGAGACCACTGCAAATGTGTTGATTAAATGAGTGAACCACCTATAACACATTTGCTGCAAGTATCAGGTATGGTTTTAAAAGTTTGAATTCTAGAAAGTTGTTGTTTTAATACTAATTGCATTTTTCTATTATAACAATGAACATGCAAAGTTTTGAGGTGATGCAGCAGAGTTTTATTGTGAAATTCAACATCTGCAAATTCTGCTAGTGTTGTTTTAAAGATATATACATTTAAAACGATAATGATGTCATCAGGGTTGTTTGCTTTGGCGGTGGTGTCATACTTTTGTCTTAAATTGGCTTGGGAGCAGAATTCAGAACCTGTATAGTTGGGCCAGAAGACTCTGTTACTAGTTGTGTCATGATCAGAGGCAAAACATTTTGAAAAGCCCTAATTTAGAGAATATCAAACTAATATATGTAGTTTTGTTTTTGTACAGATAGTAGGTCCTGAGAATGTGAAAATGACCTTTGGTAAGAGTACGTCTATGTGTCAGTCATATCGACATTTATTCTACAGTCTCTAAGGTAAAAAAAAACTAATCACTGATTTGAACTAATTTATTTCTGTTTATTTGTTATTAGTACATTTTAATTCCATTTAATGCAATGCCTAAAACCATACTGTACCTCATCTACTTGTGCACAAGTAGTTTCTAATGGGGTAGACCGATATATTGGGCCGATATTTAACGTTTTCTATACATCAGTAACGGCCGATATTTGCTCTTAGTAAAGCTTATTTAAAGTCAGGCACATCCTCGGGCAGCTGTTGCAGAATTTAATTTAAATGTATTTTTTACGTTCAACTATAACATCTGCATAATAAACAGTCTAAATTATTTTTTTAGGTGTCTGGCTTTACCACTGAGTAGTGCACAAAGCGAAGATTTATCGGTTTGTCAAATTCAGTTCAGAAACGGATTCAGCTTCAGAAATTTGTGCATCAGCCGATGTTATTAGTGACATTTTACATGACAATAAAGTAGAAAATGTCTAGATATCAGCCATGAAAATTGGCCCATAAAACTTTGCAGTATGTATCGGCCATCAGCTGATCATGTCTCTCATATATCTGCATCGGTATCGACAATAGAACAACTAATATCGGTCTACCTCTAGTTCTAATCATTAGAATAAAGAAACATATAATTGGTAAATAAGTAACATGTCCCTAGTTTTAGGTCAAAGTTAACTATTGAGATGTTTTATACTGTTGTTCCTCAGGGTTGTTGTTGACGATGGTTCAAACTCAAAAATAAAAGCTGAGATCCCTCAGGAGCACCTCTCTCCCACCCTCTCTAGGTTGTCAGTCAGCTGTGTATAAAACCAGAAGGAGCTGAAGCCCTTGAGCTTTTCAAACTTGTCGAAAAAAGTGATCCGGTTTCTGATGTTATTTTATGGTACTAAATGAAACAAATACACAAATGACTTGACAATCAGAAGAAGAAATGGTCATTCTATGTCGGGATAATGCCATTTTGGACAACTACAACAGCTAGCTATGCACATCATTTTGTTATCCAGCTAGCTAATATCCATTTGTTACACTGATGGATGCTTGGACTTGAACAAAACATAAAGCAATTACAATTCTAGGTTTGTTAAACATTCCTGTTTAGGGGGCTGCCATGGTACATATTGTTATTCACCTCTAAACTGAAAGTCTTTATTCATGATTTTACAGCAAATATCAATGCGCTGCAAGTCTGTACCACACCATCAAGAACTCATACCAGTTTACATGTGCACTAATGTATGAAAATGCAAATTAGCCCTGCTTCCAGCACCTCATCTGGCTCCCATTCATTCTGCCTAAGTACACTTTGTTCCCTTTCTTTTATTTTTCCGATGAGCAAAAATGTGTCTTAAATATGAAATGAATGAGGTCACCAGGGAGTCCCTTGCTTACAGATGTGATATTTGAACTGACCCTGCGACAGCTGGCCCATGAGAGATAATCACATGTCCAAAGTGACATTTACTCATATTTACATTACCACTTAACTACAGAAAGCTTTATTTGTATTTAAATTCCTGTCAACCATGTTTAGATAATGTTTTGTGAAGACAGGCTTTTCACAGTTGCAAGTTTGAGTTCTAATTAGTTCAACGAATGACATAAATTGACAGTTTACTGACCTTACTCAGTGGCCTAGTGGTAGAGTGTCCACCCTGAGACTGGGAGATCAGGGGTTCGATTCCTGGTCGGGTCATACCAAAGACTTTGAGAAAATGGGACCCAATGCCTCCCTGCTTGACACTCAGCATTAAGGGGTTGGAGTGGGGGGTTAAACCACCAAATAGTTCCCGAGTGCGGCTGTGTCTGCAGCTCACCGCTCCGCCAGGGGATGGGTCAAATGCGGAGAACAAATTCGCACACACACCAGTGTGTGTGACAACTAATGGGACTTTAACTTTAACTTTTAACTTTAACTTTAATTAAGACCAATTACAGACTGACCTAAAGTCACGTTGTACTTGATTGCAGACAGAGACGAGTCGCCCTTGCTGGCTCGTGAAAGTTATTCTCTAATTTGATTTTATCTGGAATAAGGTGTGTCTGCTAATTTGTGCCAGAACTCAACTACACTACTGAATTCATGATGGTTAAGGTTTTGTAAGCCAAGGCTGCAGATGTGTTGCACTTTGATTTTGCATGAAAACAATCAGTTTTTTTTTGCTATATATATATATATATATATATATATATATATATATATATATAAGAATTTTAAAAAGGAGGGAAAACACTCCTACAAATTGACAAGTTTGCACAAGTGATAAAGTCAAAAGCTTTGCTGGTTTTTCTAAATGTCTTAAATGTATTTTTGTTGTTGATGTTGAGATTTCTTCATCATTTTCACAACTCAAA